GGTCCAATTTACAAGTGGAGGGACGTCATCCTCTTTAAAGATAATAAGTCTCCTTGCTTTTAATTTGAGAATCTCAAAGAGCATTTCAAGCTCAGTTATTTAGAAAGATGACAGCACATTAAATTTTAGCTTGGGTAAATATAGTGATGCATTAAAATTAAACTCTGGGTTTGAGTAGAGTCTGCGATTCATTTCAAAGCATCTTCCTTCTAATTCTGGAAAAAAAAAGCAAGATTACAATTCATATTTATTGTATAGAATTAAGTGAAAAGGAGAGGGAATACAAAACAACATTTGTTATGCCATAAGCTCTGGGCAACCTCTATTTGCAGATAGCCCTGTAGAAAATGAGTACCGTGCTATAAGCACATTGAGGAGCCTGCCCTTCTTCTCCTCCACTTGGTAGCATACTCGTTCTTCCTATCCTGCCCCCAGATAGTCCATGACTCACTCTGTTACTCCATTTAAGTTTTTTCCTAAATGCCACTTTGGTGAGGCATTTCTCAACCCTGTTCTTTCAAACTGCTGCATCCTACCACCATCCCACCAATTCCCCTTACTTACTTACTCTGTACCTCTTTAGCATTTTCATAGCTACTTGACATCCGGCTCACAGTAGCTGTTTGACTCCCGAGTATCCCTTTTTTCTTAATACACTGTAAGTTCTATGGAGGCAACATTTTCCATTTGTTTTCTGATTTTAATTTGTCTGTAACTTTACACTCTAGGGTCTACTACAGCGGTTCTCAACCTGGGCCTTGAATGACTCTTTCTCAGGGATTACAGATCACATATCCTGTATACCAGATATTTATATTACAATTCATAATAGTAGTAAAATTACAGTTATGAAGTAGCAATGAAAATAATCTATGGTTGGGGGTCCACAACTCCATGCGGAACTGTATTAAAGGGTTATAGCATATTAGGTGGGTTGAGAAGCACTGCTTTGGAGTAATGCCTGGTGTACAGAGGGCAGACTGGATAAATAGATGACAGAGCAAATGACCGCCATCACCTTGATGGCTCTGGTGCTTTCCAGTGTGTGATTGACTTCAGGTTCTTTGTAAGCAGTGCTGTCCTGATGAGCCCTCTGATGCTTTTCTCTATATTGCATTGTTTTGAAGATTCAAACTGAACTTAGTTGCATGCTGTTTTTGTTACTGTGTCACAGGGTGTGTTGGATGTGAATATCCCTGAACTAAGGCCTGTAAATATTATTGAGGATTTGACACCCTTTGGGATGTATTTTAAAGGAAGGTTTTAGCTAGTATTATTTCTCTTCCTGGTAGGAACAAGTAAAA